ACGATTATTGGTACGAAATGGGTGTTCCGTAACAAACTTGATGAAAATGGAATAATCACTAGAAACAAAGCTAGGCTCGTAGCTAAAGGCTACAATCAAGAAGAAGGCATTGATTTCGAAGAAACTTATGCACCTGTAGCACGTTTAGAAGCTATTCGTTTACTTCTTGCTTTTGCTTCGTCTATGGATTTTAAACTTTATCAAATGGATGTTAAGAGTGCCTTCCTCAATGGTTTTATTCAAGAGGAAGTGTATGTTGACCAGCCCCCAGGGTTTGAGGACTTTGAGTTTCCCGATCACGTCTTCAAACTCAAGAAAGCGCTCTACGGTCTTAAACAAGCACCACGTGCTTGGTACGAACGTTTGAGTAAATTTCTTTTGGATAGTGGTTTCCAAAGGAGAAAGGTTGACACTACACTTTTTATCAAGAGTAAAAACAATAACATCCTTTTGGTTCAAGTTTATGTAGACGACATTATATTCGGTGCTACTAACGAGTCTTTGTGCAAGGAATTCTCGACGCTAATGACTAGCGAATTTGAAATGTCAATGATGGGCGAGCTCACATTCTTTTTGGGACTCCAAGTTAAGAAAATGAAAGATGGAACGTTCATTTGCCAAGCTAAATACTGCAAGGAGCTCCTAAAACGGTTTGAAATGGACAACGCCAAAGCCATGGCAACCCCGATGAGCACGTCTGACCATCTTGACAAAGACGAGAAAGGTAAGGAAGTAGAGGTCAAAAAGTATCGAGGTATGATCGGATCCCTTCTCTATCTTACCGCTAGTAGGCCGGATATCATGTTTAGCGTATGCCTTTGCGCGAGGTATCAATCATGTCCGAAGGAATCGCACTTAACCGCGGTAAAACGGATCATGAAGTACCTTGTCGGCACGGTTAACGTTAGACTGTGGTATCCAAAAGGCTCTTCTTGTCATCTCGTCGGCTACTCCGACTCGGACTTTGCCGGTTGCAAATTGGACCGTAAAAGTACGAGTGGGACTTGCCACTTACTTGGTAGTTCCTTAGTCTCATGGTTTAGCAAGAAACAAGTCAGTGTTGCGTTATCCACAACCGAAGCGGAGTATGTAGCCTCCGGTAGTTGTTGTGCTCAAATCCTTTGGATGAAGCAACAACTCGTGGACTATGGCCTTAGTATCAATCACGTTCCTCTTCGTTGTGATAATACTAGCGCCAAAAGCTTGACGAAGAACCCCGTTCTTCACTCAAGGACGAAACACATTGACATTAGGCATCATTTCATTAGAGATCATTTTCTCAAAGGTGATGTCGAAATTGAGTTTGTTGAAACACACAACCAATTAGCCGACATTTTAACAAAACCTTTAGAGAAAGAGTCTTTCTTCCGCATTCGAAGTGAACTCTGAATCCTTGACTCCACGATGATCTAAGTTGTGCATCTAAATTTATTAAACATTTACTAACTTGAGCGTCGGAGAACTTTTTCTTTTTTGCAGGTACCCCGTTCATGAAATCAGGGGGAACCATGCAAACAGCGTTGTCCAAGAGACACAACAGCGCTGTTGAGGGAAACACCGCCAACCAGAAAGTTTTCCAACAGCGCTGTCCATCAAGCCAACAGCGCTGTCCCAGGGAGTCCCTTACATCTTCACTTTCCAGAAACTTTTTCAACATCGATGTTCTCTTTTAAACATCGCTGTCTTCCCCAAACTTTTTGTTTTCAACCAAAACCAGAACCTTTTTAAACAATGATGTCTTACCTACAACATCGATGTCCACTTTTACAAATTTTTTTCTCTATCGCAAAACATCGATGTAGAAAAACCCAACAGCGCTGTTCAAATGGGTTCAAACCCTTACACAATTCTAGAAACTTTTGGAACATCGCTGTAGGGTACTCAACATCGCTGTCCTTTTGACTCCTGTTTTTTTGACGCAGAATAGCGCTGTACAAGGAACAACGGCGCTGTCCCAACAGCGATGTCGCCTGTAGAACATCGCTGTTCTGGTCAAAATTTTCAAAAAAATATCCGTTGCACCTTCATTTATTGCTCCAACAGTCATATTTTTTGAAATTTTGGATGTTGGAGGCTTCCTTTTCTATAAATGGGAGCCTCCACTCCTCATTTTTACACACACAAACACAAATTCTCTCCATTCTTCTTGCATATCTCACTCTACTTACAATTTTTTTTCTTCCTATTCATCATGGGCAAGGACAAGAGCAGGGCCGCCACCTCCGGGAAATCAAAGTCCAAATCCCGGGCGCCTACGTCATCATCCGAGGAGCGTCTCTACTACAGTGACGGGTCATACCTTTGGTTTGATTCCGAGGAGGAGCGCACCCGTTTCCTCACCTTTTTCTCTAAAAGGGTTGTGGCTCCCCCACGGATCATCCCAGAGCGCTACCCGGAGCTGCAGGGCTACGACGACCTTGACGCACAGCTTCATCAAGCCGGCCTTTGGCCGTTCGTCTCTCGGGCGCGCAAGGAGATCAACCCGGCACTGATCCGGGCCTTCTACTCCAACCTCCGACGTGAGGACGACGTGCTCTACTCGCTTGTCAAGAGCACGCCGATTGAGCTCACCGTGGAGCAGCTTGGGCGCATCGTCGGCCTCCCCTTCCAAGGCGACGATGTGTCTCACTATGGCGGAGAGAACTGGGTTCTCAACAACGAGGGCCTTATCCTCAACGAGCTTGGCATCACCAAGCTCATCTGCCATGCCTCGGGCCGCCCCACCATCCACTCCGCTAACCCCGATGGCCGTCTTCTTCTTTACATTGTCTCCCGGATCATCAAACCCAGAAAGCACGGCCACACCATCATGTCCGGTGAAGATCTCAAGCTCATCCATGCGATCATGCACTCGGGCCCAATCAATTGGGCAAAGTTTGTCATGATCAACATGACGATTGCCGCGTCCACCGACCACGACCACCTCCTCCCGTATCCGTTCGTGGTGATGGACATCCTTGAACGGTTCAAGGTGACCACCACCGTTGGCCCACTCACAAAGGCCACGAAGATTTGGGTGGTCAGCACCCAAACCTTCAAGAAGTGGTCGGACAACGCCGGACCTGCCACTGCCGTGCAACGGCGCCGCTCTACTGCTGGCCCAGCCGAAGCCCAGGCCCGGGCCAACCTTGCCTCCATCGCCGACTCCCTCAACCGGCTTCACTTCAAAGTTGACGAGATGGATGGCTACCTTGAGCGGCTCGACGAGGCTGTTCAACGCCAAGGGCACGCCATGAACGCATACTTCCAACGTGTTAACTACGTCCCCCCACCGTACCATGGCACGTTCTTTGGGCAAGTGTACGGTGACGAGGACGAAGAGGATGGCTCCTACGCCCCGTCAAGCTCCCCGGACGAGGACGAGTTCGACGACACCGTTGACGGTGATGAGATGGACGTCGACGACGAGGAGGAGGAAACCGAAGACGAAGACTAGGCCGCCCCTAGAATTTCTATCTCTTTTGTTTTAATTATCCTGTCTCTTAATGCTTCCGTTGTACTCCGCTATTTCCCATCTTCAATAAATAAAAATAATCTTTTATCTTTTTGTTAATGTCAAAAGGGGGAAGAAAAGGGCTATGCATATACTAAGGGGGAACGTCTCTATAAACGAGACCGTTTGATTTTAATCCAACTAATTTTTTTTAAAGCACAAATTAAGGGGGAACTTTTTTTTCCACAACTTTTGAAAAACAAATATCCCTTAGTATGCATATCCCCGTCTAATTTGCCATTATCAAAAAGGGGGAAATTGTTGGAACACGGGTTTACGCCTTACGTCGTACTAAACTGTGTTCGGTTTTTATGACAGGTTTTGATAATGCCAAACCGCCGCGACATATCGAAGCTAAAGTGAGCAAAACTAAGGCAAAGGAACATGGCATGATGACTTGAGAACCAAGAACCCAGAATCAAGAACGAAGAACTAAAATCGTATTGAGTTGGTCTTAATGTGATCAAGACCGGCACAAAATTCCAAATTTTGGCTCTCTAGGCTCAATTCATAAAAATCTCTTTTACATGTTCAAAACTATTTTTTCTTAAGTTTAAACTTGGGTCAAAACACTTGGAGTTCGCCCAAGCCAAAAACCAAGCCATCCGGCGTTCGGCTTTCAAAAACCGGCATTCGGCTTTCGGTTTTCGGCATTGGTTTTTGGCGTTCGAACCAACCAAGTGGTTTTCAACTTTTTATGACTGGTTTTTATCTCTGGGCATATTTAATTAGCTCTCCAACAAAAACGCCTCAAAAACCACTCTCCGTTTTTTGTCGTTTAGTAAAAACCATGCGAAACGGCACGAACTTGGTTAGCCGTGGTTTTCAACTAAATAACGTGGTTTTCAAGATGTTTTACTTGTTCTCTTAGCAAAATGCAATAAAAAAATGTTTTCTAAACTTGGTTTTTATTTTGGAGAACTTGCATTTTTGACATCGGCTAACGGCGTGACTAAACCAACCATGGGTCTGGCTAAACCAGCCCAACAGCGATGTTGAGGTAATCAACAGCGCTGTCTGGACTGGATAGCTAAAAACATGGTTTGGCGTTAAGTCTTCCAACAGCGATGTTGGTCACTAGACATCGCTGTTGAGCCAAGGTTGGATTTCCAGAAACTTCTGGAACAGCGATGTAGGCTTCCCTACAGCGCTGTCCAACCTAAGCCAAAAATATAGTGCATTGGCAGAAAG